CTTTCTTTCTTTCTTTCTTTCTTTCTTTCTTTCTTTCTTTCTTTCTTTCTTTCTTTCACTTTCTATTGGTTCTTTACGAATGTCACATCCTGCATCCCAATCCCATTCATCTACCCTCCCCTCCCCTTCCCTCCACCCTTTCAACCTCCCTCACAACAGAGGGAGAAAAAAATCTCCTCATGGAAGCTATAGTGTGTCACCATATCCCACACTATACCCTTTTGTCCGCACTTCCTTGCTTGCAAATGTTCATTGCAATGAGTCATGGGTCTAGTACGAGGCTTCTCTTTGTCAGTACTGAAAGCTCACTGGGATTCCTCTCAGATGCCCTGTTGTTTGTTGCCCTGTGTCATGGAGATCCCTGAGTTCTGAATCTGGAGGACCAGTCCCTTTATATACTCCAGCAATTCATTGATGGGGTAGATATTGGGGTAGATCAACTGGATCTGGGAGTGAGAAGAATCTGAGCTGGTCAGCCTGCAGGCTGTCCTGCTCTCATGCCTTCAGGACTGACTCAGCAGCAACCTCCACAAGCAGGGCCAGCTCTACCCTGCTGCCCAAGTAAGGTGCAGGGCCTGCTCCCCTGAGTGCTGCAGCAAGTGAGGGGCTGGGACAGCTCTTCTGCTCTGATGACCTCAGGATCAGCTCTCCTGACTGCCATATGTGGCAGGGGTTGGGGGTAGGCATCACTCCTTGCCCGTGTTACCGAACAGCAGACAATGATGGAGCCAGCTCTCCCACATTTGTGCCTTTGGGGCTGGCTAGCCTGCACCCATGCCACCAGGGTCAGCTCTACTGTGCCACCCAGGTGAGGTACAGGGGTCTGCTTTCCCAAGTGCTGCAGCTGGGAAGTAGGGCCAGTTCTCTTGTTCTCATGACCCCAGGGACTGGTTTCTCAGCTGCCACAGATGGTGATGGGTGAAGGGGGAGATCTCTCCCTCATCCACGCTATCACACCAGAGATGAGTGGTAGGGCCAGCTCTCCCATGCTCATATCTTTGGGGTTAGCTCACCTGCAACACTCAAAATGTGTGGGGTCTCTCAGGAGTGGTCTCAGGAATGTTATGCCTTGGTCATACATTATGGCACCAGGCAGGGGTCACCTCGGGCATGATTTGCTCCCTCAAGCTTGTGTAGCACCAGACTGGTGGTCATCTCAGGCTATTTACCTGTCCAGACCCCATGACGTGAGTCTAGTGGTTGTCTCGGGCTTGCTCCTCACTGGCTGCCTGAGTGGCTCCTTGTGAGGGTTGTCCGGGCTTACCTGAGGCTGAAAGTGGGCTAAAGGTCCCAGGTGGGGCTCTTCTAGGCTTTAGCTTGCTCACCATCTCGGGAGCCCATCCAGACCTGCCTTCACAGGATTGTTTGTCATCTCAGGCTTGATTTTTTTTTGAAAGATTTATTTATTTTACTTATGAGTACACTGTAGCTGTCTTCAGACACACCAGAAGAGGGCATCAAATCTCATTACAGATGGTTGTGAGCCACCATGTGGTTGCTGGGATTTGAACTCAGGACCTCTGGAAGAGCAGTCAGTGCTCTTAACCACTGAGCCATTTCTCCAGCCCCTTGATTTTTTTTTTTCAGGGAATGTTAGTGTACTAATCATTCAGATGTTCATAAGTCAGATCACTGAATATAAATATAGGCTTTCTCCTCTCTGCCACCTACTGACAAATGTGACACATTAGTCACGCCTGCGATGCCTCTCGTGGCAGGCCTCTTCTTATTTCTTATACAGGAGATCGAGCCTGAGGCTTTATACACACTACGTATATGATGCTTTACACTGATCCAGATCCCGATCGCTGGATAAAATGCTTGGTACGTGCTTTCAAATGTAGGTGCTTCCACAGGAAAGAAAGGAAAGGGGTATTTTCTTCATCTTTGTGCATACCCAGCTGTGCACAGTCTCCCTGGTTACTGAGCCCAGAGAACTTCCAGTACCTCTGGTTTCTCTCAGCAGACAATGTTGGGAATAGAGCCAAGCTTCTTACCCCAGGGTCAAATGTTAACACACGGGAGTTCAGTAACTCCTTACCCTCATAAATCTCTATCATTGAGTGGGAAAGCAGGACTTAGTAGCCATTCTGGCTGGGTTTTTTTTTGGTGTCCACTTGACAGGAGTTAGATTCATCAGAGAGAAAGGAGCCTCAGTTGAGCCAATGCCTCCATGAGTTCCAGCTGTAAGGCATTTTCTCAACTAGTGATCGATGGGGGAAGGGCCCCCACCCATTGTGAGTGGTGCCATCTCTGGGCTAGTGGTCCTGGGTTCGATAAGAAAGCAGGCTGAGCAAGCCAACTGAAGCAAGCCTTACAATGGTAACCCCTCCATGGCCTCTGCATCATCTCCTGCCGCCAGGATCCTGCCCTGGTTGAGTTCCAGTCCTGACTTCTTTTGGTGATGAACAGTGATGTGGAAGTGTAAGCCGAATAAACCCTTTTCTCCCCAAGTTGCTTTTTTTGGCCCTGGTGTTTCATTGCAGCAATAGAAATCCTAACTAAGAAAGTAGCGAAAGAAGAAAAGCCCAATGAATTCAGCAGAAACTCTGGAAAAGGAATTTAATCCCACGTAACATGGTATTTATCGGTAAGAAATCACATCCTCATATGGGATTAGAAGAAACACCCGGATACATGCAGGGCAAGATTGTGTTTGAATGCCACATCTAACTAAAACAAATGCAGGTTATTTGCTAAGGATGGACGGAGGACGGTGTTACTTTGACTTAATGCTTTGGAGAACAGGTAAGCTAGCATCAGAGAGGTGCCTTCAGAGATGGATGAAATTCACAAATAAGGAGAAAGTCACTCCAGGTAAAGAGACTGGCCTAGACGAAGACCCCAGTCGAGCATCTACTTAAAAGACGTGGCCACTCAGATTTGTTTGTCTAAACAAATAACTAGAAACAATCTGTGTATTCACAAGAGGGTAGTCAAAGGAATTATGGTATACTTAGCCGATGAGAAGTGGTCATATGGGAAAATAAATCAAATAGAGATTATACAACGATTAATGGAAAAATAAAATACCATATTAAATGACAGAAGGAGGCTGAGGAACACTGAGAATAACATAAAGGTTAAAAATATACAGAGGGAGATAATATTTGTGGATGTGTAATTTCACAGTATTCTGATATTATCATTAATGCTGATACCTATTCATAAGTTCATAATGTCTTAAAGAGAAAACAGTGGTGGGATGAACAACTAATTCAGTACGTAGCAACTGTTGCTGGGAAGAGAAGAGCTTTCAGTTAACTGTCTTACAGACCGAGATTGATGACTAGAAGAAAGTTGCACACATTTACACTGACACATTTATTTAAAACCTGAAGTAAACACAGCACACTAAGATTTGACAAACCCTTGCTTATTGTCTCTATTTCTACACACTTGAACTATTTGATAATTTTAAAATGAAATGTGTGGACATTACTGTCATTCACATGGAATTGCAGTACTTGGGAAGTACTTGGGAAGAGGCAGGAAAATCAGACGTTCAAGAAAGAAAAAGTCCTGGAGCATAAGGCACAGCAGGTGATGTCTGAATGTCCCTTGGAGCCCAGGATGCTGTGGCAGGAAGAAAGACATGAGTTCAAAGTTCATGAACAACTTGCCTTACTTAGTGAGCTACAGGCTTTCCTGCGATATGATGGGGACCTTGTGTCAAATAACACACACACATACACACACACATGTACACACACATACGCACGAACACACAGGTACACACATGTACACACGCATACTCACACACTGGGGGATGGAGGAGATAGTGACAGAGATAGTCAGACACAGAGATGCAGACACAGTGACAGAAATCCATGGCCTCAGGTGCTCCGTTCTGTTTACTCTCCTGCATGATTTCAGAAGGAGGATGAGTCTCACAAATGTAAACCAGGGCCATGTCATGGAAACGCTTTGATGGCCAAGCTCAGGAAGGTGAGCTTTCATTGGCAGTTGGAAGTTACCAGAAGCTTTGGAGCACTTTTTTTTTTTTTAGCTGAGTTTTAGCCAATCAAATAAAATAGAACTCAGGCCAAGAACAGTCAGGAAACTGTCACCATCGGTGTTGTTGGGGCAGGATGAAGGTCTGTAGACATGAAATAAACAGCGGCAGCGGGTTTTCACTACGGCCATCCTACCCAGAACGTTTTATCTTGTCAGAAAGGACAGGTTTGTTTGTTTGTTTTTGTTTGTTTGTTTGAGACAGGGTTTCTCTATGTAGCCCTGCTTGTCTTGGAACTCACTCTATAGACCAAGCTGGCCTCGGACTCACCACCCACCTGGCTCAGATAGGACAGGTTGTTGGTTGGTTTTTTTTTTATATGGTAAAACTTGTTTGAGTTTTAATGAATAGAAGTCCATCTTAGTTTTGATTTTGAGACAGGATCTCACTGAAGTACACAGGCTGCCCTCGAGATGACACTGTAGTGGAGTCAGCTTTGAACTTCTGGTCCTTCTGCCTCTGCCTCCTGAGTAGCTGGGAATATAAGCCTGTCTCAACCAAACCTGGTGACAGATTTCAGGCAAGACTTCAAGGATCTATAAGTAAGAAATTAGCCATGCCAATAACAAAATTAGGTATGCCAGACATTTGCTTGTGGTGCTGGCAAGGACAGATGAGTGGAAAAAGAGAAGTGATAGTTAAAAAGTTTGAACCCATAATGATCTCACAACATGTCAGGGCTTCCCATGGCAAACCATATGAGAAGAAAGGAGAAAAAGGAAAAGCGAAAAGAAAAGAAACTATGTGTGATTCAGGCGGGAACGGGCAGGCAGACTCAGTTAATGGTAATGAGAGAGGAATAGGGACTGTGGTGTGCTGGCTAGTGATTAAGAGAACTGGCTGGCCCTGGGTCACATTTGTGTTGGGATGCCAAAGGCTGAAGTCACATGGTTGGACTAAGAGGAGGAGGACTGGAGGTTATAAGGAACGCATGCTGTACAAAGATACTGACAGGAGGGCTGGTGAGATGGCTCAGCGGTTAAGAGCACTGACTACTCTTCTAGAGGTCATGAGTTCAAATCCCAGCAACCATATGGTGGCTCACAACCATCTACAATGAGATCTGATGCCCTCATATGGGTGTCTGAAGACAGTTGCAGTGTACTTACATATAATAAATAAATAAATCTTTAAAAAAAAAAAAAGATACTGACAGGAGTCAGGACCTTGGTAATCAGGAGAAGGGAGTATAAACCCAGTGTCTTGGGGCTAAAGTAACCCTAAGGATGACTAGCAACCACCTTTGAAGGTGGTGAAGGGCAGCCAGTAGGCAGTTAGTATAAGGAAAAGGAAAGCTGTCCCGGTGTGGCAGCTCTTACTGATATGAGCTCGCTGACTTTTCAAACGAAGCTCCACCATCAGCTAGCCAATGACTGCTAATCATTTCAACGATCCTGGTTATGAATTGCTACTAACAGTTATGGGAAAGGTTGCACTAGAGATGAACTATTGACTTCAGAGGTACCTTTAAGAAAACTCTCCTGGAATAACCTGGGGAAAGAGGATCTGGGTAGTGCTTCTGGGTGACTGCCAGGATTCCTCACCCAGCGTCAGCTCAGAGGCCACTCTCTTGCTATCTACATCTATCTACTTGTTAGTTTGTGGTTGATGGACACACACACACACACACACACACACAACACACATCTGAAACACTCAAGTTGTTGGACTCAGGACGGTCAAGCTGAAAGCAAAGCAGCAGGGTCTATCTGTGCGGTATTGTCGGTTCGCTTTAAGGCTTCAGTGCTCTGCCTCTCAGCTATTCTCACAGTCACATGACTCAAACTAGGATGAAGGGATTTTTTTTTTTTTTGTGACAGCAACCTTGCATAGCAAGCTCAAGTTAATCAATTAGAATTAAAAATGTTTGGATAACTTTCTTACGCATTTTGGTGAAGCTCGTCATTCCAAGTAAAGGAAAACAAGCAAGTTAGGGCGTAACTAACATTATGGTGTTATAGACTTAAAGTGCTCCCCCAAATTCATATGTTCAAATCCCCATTCCAATATGAGGGTGTCAGGAGCTGAATGGCGTTGATAACCTAACAAAAGACATTGATAACCTAATAAAAGGAAGGTCCGTGGCTCTTGAGCCATGCCAGGACCCAGCTAGAAGAGAAATGTCTGTAAGTCAGAAGCGAACACTTAGCAGGCAGTAAGCAAGTTAGCACCTTGTTCTCGGCCTTCAAATCTCCACAGCTGGGAGAAGGAAATGTTTGCTGTTTAAAACCTCCGTTGGTTTGTGATTTGATGCTATGGCAGCCTGAAATGCCTCAAGTAGGGGGTTTAACAGGACTGAGTTGGTTCTGTTTGAGGCTGTTCTCAATGTCACAGAGAGATTCTTTCTGAGCCTGAGTTTAAGCAGGAAGCAGATTTTGCCGGGCACAGTGAGGGTACAGTAACACCGGCAGTGACAAGTGAGTGGCTTGCGCAGGCAACCGGGACAGGCTGTTCTGGCTTTCTCTACGCACCAAGAATAAGAAATTAGGCCCCTGACTCTTGTCTATTGTCTCTGGTATTATTGACTTTTCCCCCCCTTGCCTAGATCTTCATTCCACGAATCTTTATTAGGCCCCCTCGGGACACAAAATTACCAGTGACAGAAGATGAAAGACTGAAGGCAGGCTGGTGGTCTGCAAGTCAGTCAGCAATTTAAAGATGGTTATTGCTATCTGTCGTGTAGATGAACCAGACACAGATTCCA